CGCCATCGCCGTCGCCGTCGCCGTCGCCACCTCCCAAGTGTTTACATAATGCTATATAAACACGGAAACCATTTACATTTATTTTATAAAATGACTAATGAAAGAGGAACGAAAACCGTGTTTACTTACGCTCATGTAAAATGGTTTTATGGCCAATCAGAGCGCGCGTACCATTTGAACTATTTTATGATATCTCATGATCAACAGTGTAGTGCAATAGACTCCTCGTCCGAAGTTGAGGATATGTCACGGGCTAGCCTGGGCCCAAAAGTGTTCGTTAAAAGGCGTTGGAAATCTCGTTAAAGTTACAGATAGATATGACACATACTTTCACATCCTTTACTATCTGATTGTTCTGACGACGAGACACGCGGTTGTTAATAATTTTCCAAGTCCTTTGAGTATTTCCTTTGGATTGAATAAAAATATTGTGATAAAGGGATGCCTTAGCGGTTTTCACTTTATTGTGGATTCGATTTCGGAGCTTTCTGTAATTGCCCCAGTCTTGAGGATTCTTTCTTTTTATCGCTTTCCTTTTAGCTTTCCAAATTACTCTGTTCCGAGCAGCACTACTATTCAAGTTAAGCGCTGCTTTGCACCTGCACCGGAAATAATGATTTGTTAGTAATTTTTATCATTTAAAGAAATAATTATTTTTGCGTGTAGAATGATATGTTGCTCGTACTAATCATATCGCCGCATAGGGGTATTTATTTCGCAGCAATCAGATTATCGCTGTTTTGGTATGTATCTCACACTAATTAGGTTGCCGCATTAGGGCATGTATCTCGCACGCATCACATCAGAGCATTTGGATATCTTGCACCAATCACAGCGTTCGGGTATTATTTTCTCGTAAATGATGTTATGGAATCAGGGGGCTGTGCACAAACATTTTACTTTTGCCCAGAGGATTTTTAGATAGTAGCTGTGTGAGTTCAGCTAAATTTTTGTTTTCTTTCACGGTGAAGTAATGCGATATTTTTTTTACTTTAAAAGTTATGCTCTTTTTCTGTTACAAAACTGAAAGTGTCCTATCTCAACCTTTCCAGCCAAAATAATAACTCTTGAATGCTACACATGCCTAGTTTATCTTTTCGGTGAGCAGAACATGAATTCAATTCCAACTCAATATTGACCGTTTTCGAAACAAGAAAATGTATCTACGCCCTCTCGTGACATTTAAGAATTGACGTAACCCTTATTAACCACGTTATAGAGTAATGGTTGCTAGGTCGATCGAAATGCCCGCCATATTCGAATTAGATGCAGGACGATCCGTTTATTACGCTCACTGCACATGTTGCTTTGCACTGAAACTAGCCCCTACAACTTTACA